GACGTGGTTGATGAGCTGGAGTACATGGAACTTGAAAAGCAGCTGACCAAAAACAAGAAGCTGAGAAGGGTGCATTCCATCATGAAATCCACGAAGAAAAGACTTGTCAAAATTGGCAAACGTGCTCTCAAAATTGATCCCAACTTGAAGAAACTTGAGGCGGTTGTGCAGAAACTTAATAGAGTTTCAACAAATGGTGTTTATACTTTCTTTCATCTTGTACAACACGCAAAGCAGGAGCTTCAGAAGCAGCAGCTTGAGCTGCAAGGAGCACGTGAAGCTGGATATTTGCCTAAAAATGATCTCATTTGGCAGGACAAGGATCAGGAATCTGTTGTGCAGTGGTTGAGGAAGCCATCAAATGAGCATCGGGGAACTGATTTGTACAGAAACATTTTTCTTCTATCTATAGTGGGCCATGGTGGTATGGGAAAGACAGCTCTCTTGCAACATGTTTATGAAGATGAAGTGACAAAGGAATTTGATCTTAAAATGTGGGTTTGTGTTTCCAACAACTTTGATGCTAAAAAAGTCATTGCAGATATGTTGGAATGTCTTAAGAAGGAGAGGCCTCGTTTGCAGACACTTGGGGCACTTCAAGGGGGTCTCAAGGAGGAGGTGATGTCCAAAAAGTTCTTACTTGTGCTGGATGATATTTGGGAGGAGGATGAGGAGAAGGATAAAAGAAAATGGGAGGATGTGCTGGCCCCTCTTGCTTGTGGGGGTTTTGGTAGTAAGATTCTGGTAACAACTCGAACGGAGTCAGTTGCTCTGATGTTTGCAAAAGTTATTAAAAAGGAGGGGAAAATAGTTAAATTAGAGGGCCTAGAGGAAGATGATTGTTTGCAGCTCCTCAACTCTCATGCATTTGCTGGTGTAGAGAACCCCCATGATGATCATAAAAAATTAAGAGCCATTGCCGGAGAGATTGTTAAAAAGCTTTTAGGATCTCCTTTGGCAGCTAAAGTCATTGGTGGTGTTCTAAAGGAGAACTTGGATGAAAGGCATTGGAGGACAGTTCTAGAAAGCAATTTATTGGATCAGAATTCTATCCATTCCATCTTAAGACTGAGTTATATAGTTCTGCCAAATCATCTACAAAATTGTTTTGCATTTTGTTGTATGTTCCCACAAGACCATACGTGTCACGCCCCAAGATCTAATTTGGAAAGAATGTCAATCTATT